ATTCGCATTATTTTAAATTAACATGTGCTGTGTCTGGAACATGTTCTAACGGGCGACAAAAATAAAAATATTTAATAAAATTATATCCTTTTGTAATGAGCTTAGCTACAGCTGCATTTCTGGTTATGGACTTACCGAAGAATATCTTAATATAATAAATTGTTCACTTCATTTAATTATAAGTGTTTGCATACGCGGTGTATTGTTACTTAGAAGCCAGTTTTTTTTCAGAAAGTTGGATGTGATTGGGTTGTGGATTCCACTTCCGAAGAAGACGAATGTGGAATCTGTCAGGGCGATGGAACTAAATGCGACATAATACAAGGAGAGTACAAGAAACAAAGTGGAGTAACAGGATATAGAGAAATAGTGGTAATTCCGAGTGGGGCCCGAAACATTTTTGTGGCTGAAAACGATCAGTCTGAGAATTATATTGGGCTAGAAAATGCAGTGGAGAAAAAGTACTACTTAAATGGGAAAAGGTAACAAATTTCTTTAGTACGTTTATCAAGTTGTGTTTTATCATCACGAGAATAGTATAAATAAAATATTTTCTTTGTCTTCAAATCATCACGTTTCACGATCAGGAACTGACTCCTACCGCAAGAATATTTTCAAGTTTTGCAACGTACTTGAATTACAATTGTAAAAATCTCTAATACAAAATCTATTCATAATATATCCGAGTTTGTTTACAGAAGAAACTCGTTTTTGGTTTAAAACGTCTTCGAAAAACCTTTTTTGAGGAATAGATCAAGTTTGAACAACGAGCAACTTATTTGCTAGTTATTTATTCGTCGATTTTGTCTCACGCAGTTCCATTTTTCACTTTCAGTCGATATCATAAAGTAAAAGCACAATTTGTGCCACAAACAACAGTCAAGTTGGAGCTGCTGAGTTCCCCAGATTATTTCCAATCTGGAGTTTACAATGTATAGCTTGATTTTGCATATTTCTTTTTCACGAAAAAGCTTAACAAGACAAAAAAACTAATCGAAAAAATGGACAAACACTAAAGAAAGTGAATACGGCACAATATGAGATAGTTTTAATCACCAACTTCCAATGAGCTTTTGTTGCGGCAACATTAAACAACAATTGAATGTATAATCTATCAAAGCTTTCGTTACAGCTTACAAATAGCGACGAAAAAGCATTATTCCATATTTTCTGTTTTTGGTCTCATTATTCGAAAACGTAAGCTTTACATTTTAGTTCAAAATTTTTTTGATATTTTATAATTCCTTTATAACAACCAACGTGCATGTAATAAAATTCATCTCGGGAGCGATTAATCCGAGTTTCTCTATTAAAAATTCATTATAAATGGCTCGTTTTCCTCTATTCAAAACTTACCGAATTAATTATTTTAGCGAACGGCAAGGCAAACACTTTAGATATTGCTTTTTAGGTTTTAATCAAATTAACAATTATTTTGTAGTTTAACAAAATTTTTTAATTTGTCACTATTCTGAAACAATATCTTGTTGTTTTTTGTTTTCAATTTAATTGGACGTATAAACATTGATTCAATACTTATCCAGAGGAACAGGTATAGCAACTTTTATTAATTAATAATACCTGCCCCAATCCCAATTAAATAAAACTATTCATATAGATATTTCTGAAAACATATAATATAATAAAAAGTTTTACTTTATTAAATCTTACTATTGAGAGCTTTTTGAGGTAAATATGGCAAAATAGGCCAAAAGGTTTACAATGGTACTGATCCAGAATGTTCCCTTGTACACTTTTGCTGTCTTGCTGCAGTAAATAATTCGCGACATTTTGGCGACTATTCTGTTAAGAAGAGCTTTGATGTTTTCAATCTTTGCCCTGGACTTTTACGCACAATTCTATTTGTATGCTATTTCATAAAACGTGTTGTTAAATATATTATTAGTGACCTTTGAAATTGAAAGGACAGATATGAATAATCATTACATCACTGCATGTGCTAACTGAATATGTATAACATCAAAGACTGAGAAAAAGCCATACCAACCAAAATATCAAGAAAGTAATGCGTTTGTATGATCGTGCTACGTAAAAGTTTCTTCCCAGGTAAAAGATAGATGATAAAGAACTTTTTTAGGCATATAACACTTCCAGGAGAATATAATGTTGCTGGCGCCCAAGCGCTCTATGAAAGAGAACACAATTTGGAAAAAATTCGAATTCCTGGACCCATACATGAACCAATCCTAGTTTCGGTAAGGGTTTTACGCATAATAAGAATATTAGTTACAATGGTTTCAGAGCTTTTTTACCTATTATTTGATTTTACAAACACTTCAGATTGAAAATAGGCGAATCGCAGGGTGTTTTCGGTAAAAATTATCTCAATTTTTCATAAATGTACGGGCTACTTACATTTTTCTCTGTAATTCAAAGATAAGTGCATTAAAAAGGACAGTTCCGCCCACATACTTATTTCCCAAAACAATCACCCACCTGCAATCATGGCAAGTAGTTCTATAAATATTTAAACCTCGATTACCATGTATTGCTATTTTTGCTTCAAGTCTTAAAAACTGGCATGCAAATGATCCAATGCGTCATATTTTCCTCAGATTTTCTTCAGGGGCAAAGTGTACAATCCAGGAGTCACTTGGAAATATTCAATTTGGAAACCCGAAGTTACTAAACAAGTGAAATATGAATGGATTATGGAGGAATGGTCTCAATGTTCAGCTACATGTGGAGGAGGTACTGTAATTAGAAAAAGTGGAGAAAAAACTGTGTTCATTAAAATTTAAATTAATTAAAAAAATTACTTGTAAAATGTGATTTTCAGGAACGCAATACTCGAAACCATTATGCCAAGAAAGCACTGTGTCCCCTGTCGCTGCCGATCTGGAAGGACCGAACATTGTAGCTGAAGAAATGTGCCTGGACATGACTAAACCCGAAAAAATGGTTAGAACTTGTAATGACGATCCCTGTCCTTACAAATGGTGGGTCGGACCTTGGCAAACCTGCCCTAGCACTTGTTATGATGGGGTACGCATTTGATAATTTAGTTTAACCACTATTTGTAAATTCTGCTAAAATATAGTAGTTAAAATAGACCTTCAGACAATATTCCAAAGGCAAAAACATTTTCAGCACTAAAATTAATGCATTTAGTAAGTACGGATCAATATAAAAACACTAAATTATTTTTGTGTGTCTAAACTGCAGTGTTATTTTAATTACAGGGTAAAAAACCTATGAGAAGAAGAAATGTGATGTGCATGGATGGGCAAGAAATGGCTCTTCAAGACCAGTATTGCGACAGAGGAGCGAAGCCCCACGAATATGAACCTTGCAAGAAGTTATTACCATGCGCTGCTTATGAAAGATAACAACACATAAAAATATTACTGAATCCGATTCGCAAAGGCTCGAAATTTAGTTTTCCCATCGCAAAATGATTGGGAGTAACGTGCGCTTTAAAAATAATTAATAACTACATTATGGATTGCAATACTGTGTATTTGGTCATGTTATCAACTAATTTTTTTTACGTATTTATAATATGTATTGTATTGGTAATTAATACTTATTTAGATATTTTGATATCGTTGAACTGTAATTTATTTGTATAGTTGTATGTGCAAAACTCGCTACGTAGATCCACATGATACGCAAAATAATCAATAAAAAAACTTCATTTTAGTTTAGATAAATTGCACATTGTTATTTCCACCTACACGTTTTATTACACTTAGATTATTCTCTCAAAATCCCGTAATAAAAATGCTTTATAACTAACATAGTTAAATAAGCTGCTGTCACTGTACAGCTAATATTTACTCTATTCTTCTGTAGGTTTAATCGGGATTGTTAATTATTTTGTTTACAAAAAGAATCAAGTTCATCAATATTACATGACAGGAATATATAAATTCAACTAGTCTGATAATAAAGTTTTGTAATACGGATTAAAAATGTTAACTTTTTTTCGGTAACAAACCAACTAAATCTAATAATTAAATATAAAAGAAGGCGTGGTGGTCTTGTCAATCACCTGCAGGCAAGAAACCTGAAGTTCGATGGTCCCAGCCGTGCCCATCAAATAATTTATAGAATGTTCATAGTAATTGCTGTTGATTGTAAAACATCCAGCAATCAAAGCTTCTCTGATGTGCAATTGTATTATATATATTATTTCATTAGTAAAATAATTCCATATGGTTAAATTTGGAATTGTAAACTACCAATCAGAGCGATAGTCCTATTAATGCTCTAGTAGCAAAATACTTTTTTTAATAGACAGGACGGGCACAATTGGACCGATTTAACAGAGATCACCAATTTCCTGACTAGATAGAGTAAAATCGGCTTATTTTACGATAAAAACCTTTATTTTTGAGAAACAGTTATAGAGCAGGCACCTCAATGTTGTCACGCCCACTGAGGTATAGGACATTTTATCGTTTTATCGTAGATGCCCGATGTAGCAAGAAGAACATTTTTTTTAAAATAAAAATGTGTTATTAAACAAGCTCTTATTCAATTATTTCTACTGATGTTGCACCTCTAGTGCGTACTTCTATATATCCTTCAAAAACCACAAAAAAATATTAAACATTCTTTATTTGTATAGAAATTCGGGACATGTAGCGCTTTTTGTGATGACTTTTATGCTCAAACATGTATTAATATATATTTCTATAAAATTAACAAGCTTGAACAAAGCTCTTCTAAAAGGCACAATAAAAAATATTTGAAAAACGAGACTAATTGACGCAAAAAACGTCTTGCTTCATCAGTTCAAACAGAATTGAATGGAACAGTGTTCAATTTAGGCGATTAAACGTTTCTTATTAGGCTTAAACAACTTTGTGCGATTTAGTCACGAATCAGCCGTTTTCGGTTAAAGCAGTTCAATTGTAACCACCCTGTTCACTTCCGATATTATCGAGCTTTTTCATATAAACTTCTCGACAAAATCAACGTTACATTGACAAATTTTAACTTTGGAATTGGATACGAGAGCAAATTGACTTCTATTTGGAGAGTTATTTAGTTCAATTCTTTTTCAGTTGGTGCGTGGTTTTGAAAATAATTAATGCGCCAGATAAAGTTTCTACAAGATGGCAAATGAAGCAATGCAAAATTAGTTAAAGTTTGGCGTGTTTTGAGTTAAAAAACTATTTCTGTATCTCCAGACTACAAGCATTAAGATAGAGCTCATATCTCGAGAAACGTTTCTGAATTTTTCGATCATATCGTTTATTTACAGAAAGGTCTTTAAACAAAATAACTTTTTGGTTTTGCAGTGATAATATTTTTCTCTTGAATCAAAATCCTGTTGCATGAACGAACGAAATATTTGGAAGTAAACTTACAAAGTCTTCCAAAATCACAGATTCCGGGCGCAATTTTGATATGGGTAAATTTTGTGCAGTATTGAATTTTTGTCTTAAATCGTCTACGAAGTTTAAGCTTCAACACCAGCTCTGGATCGTTAAATTCGGACTAAGAATAGAAAATTTAACGCGGTAAAACCAAAAAGGTGATTTTTTGGGCCTACCCTATACATAGACCAGATGGCCGAAAAAATTGAAAACAGTTTCGGGCGATTTGCTTTTTCTTTAAACGTTTGGTGTTGAGATCCCAAAAAAACCTGTCCAACTATTAGCACAAACTTTGCGAAATTTTGCTTTTTTTAATTTGCCATTGTTGAAAATTTTCCAGAGGTGCTCAATTTTTACCAAAACATCGACTAACATAAAACACATGGGGCTTACTAATGCTTCACACAGAAACCAAATCCCTTGAAACAATCAGAATTTATGCAGTTCCAAAGTTAGAACAAATTTGACTGTGTAACGTTTATTTGAACGAGTTCAGATATCTCGGTTTCAGCTGCTTTTCTCAGTTACATTATCCAGAGTCGAACTACTACTACCGCTACCTTCAGGTTTCCCAAAAACAATTTCCTCGCCTTTCCGATTAATCTCATCTGCACGAGCATGCACTTTCTTATGAAGAATTACATATCGCTGATCCTTTGTTCGAAATTCGCACAAATCGCAGCAGAACCATACAGTTTGCGAAACACCATCGATCTCCTTCACTATTAATTCGGCATCGCCAGTTTCATTTCTTTCTTTATGTTTATTCACATGCCTTTGGATGGTTGCTGAATAACGAGTTTCAAAATCACCTGCAATTTTACATTGAACATTCAAACTATTCTTGGCACCATGTAAAGTCAGGAATTTAAAATAAATGCTACAAATGATACGCTGATTGTTTTACACAAATAACTTACATATTTCGCAATGATATATCGGAAGCTCTGTAGGGTCCATATGGGTCTTTCGATGCGATCCTAAATGAGCTTTATATGGGGTGGCATAAGGGCAAACATCACACTCATACATTTTCATCGTGTCCTTATGATTCAAACTTACATGTTTATATAGAGAATCTACCAAAAAATAATATCAACAAATGATATGCATGTAGGTACTTCATTGCTCATACTTTTGTTAGTAGTGCTAAATGAGTCGCAGAATTTGCACTCAAATTTCTCCATATTAATCCGGTCAACATGAATTTTCACGTGCGTTCTCATATTCCGTTTATTTCTAGATGCATAGTCACAGTCAGAGCATTTGTACAGCTCCAATGTTTTATGGGTGCTTTCATGACTATGCAAGTCTTCAACTTCTGTGGTTTTGAAATCGCATTGAGTGCACTGATACACTTCCTACATACAAGAGTATCATCTCAACTTCTTTAGTTAATTCACCGCAATAAGACCTATTTCATATTTGATGTTTTCTAATTCGTAAAAGCACTTGCCTTTTCCTCCACTTTGGCACTTTCGTCTGTTTCATTATCTGTCTCTGCACAGCTCTCTAATAGTTTCAATGGAAAGGGTATAAAAAAATCAAATTAGAAAGTCATTAAAATAGCAATAATAAAATATGTTCTTCGCTAGGTTAACATTTTTGTGAACCTGTTTCAGCAGCAGTAGCAACGTAAGAGTAGATCTTTTAAGAGGCGAGCTAAAAGAATTGAAACAGCAAAATGGATAAAATGAGTTTGAAAACAATTGATATTGAGTAAATCGCTAATAACACAATAAAAAAAGATTTTCAGGATATGCACCTTTGGAAAACATGTATCAGCGGAATATAATAAAAAAAATTTATTGAGCTAAATAATGATTTAAATGAAAATGTTAAGGCTTTTGCAGCCAATGTTTATACCATCGCCGATTTTTGAGTTATTAGGTCGTAGTCGACTGCAATTTGGTATCGTTTCGTTAACACAGATTTTGCAATTAAATGTGAACAAAGAAGTGTAGGAAAATGCGCCAAAAGTTCAACACATCACTGACGGCAAAAGTATCAGTATTGCTAGCCTGAAGTGTTTGAAATGATAAATATAATGCTGCCCTAATGTAAAGTTTACTTATGACTTACTTTTAGTTTTTCCTTTCTTATCTACTTTCGATTTTCTTTTCTTTGCGGTCGGCGATGAAGTTTCAGATTTTACTTTGGCAAATCCATGCTTTTGCTCCATGTGTTTATCCAAATAGGGCTTTCTCAGACTGTTGTAGGGACATATTTTGCATTGGAAAATTTCGGATTTCTGTTTATCACTACTTGCGGCAGTAACAGTTTCCATTGCAGTTTAAACTATCTTTCACCTAAGCGTAATTTATCTGATTTTTAGGTAAATACGAAAAAACTTGAATACTAAACTCGAATAGTTGGTTACAGATTTTGTATCTCCTTCAATAGTCAAACTGCATCAGGCAGGAACGGAAGGGACTAATAAACTTCCACACAACTAAAAATATTTTGAAGAAATCGATATACCGTGTTCTCACGATTTTAAAAATAAACAATAAATATAACTGACAATCACAAGTAATAAACACAAAGATGACTGAAGGTGAAGGCCATAGATAAAGACGAGAAGGCAGGGCCTGTTTCACTCTCAGCACTCCTGAGTTCCGTGTTACGCGTGCCCGCGCCTCCAGGAGCGCTGGCATCGACAATTTTGGAGATTTGGCGACAGCGCGTGTCGACAAGTGATGCTCACCGTCAGTCAGCTATGTCAATATTGCCAATCAGTTCATAGATTAAACAGAACATAAAGTTGTTTTGATCTTTGAATATAAAACTAACTTAGTTTTATATTCAAAGGTTTTGATACACGTGTTTTATTCTGACTTATTCCTTACATTATTTTGTTGCAAAATGCCGTTTTAATGTTCCGTTGGCGATGACTTCATGCGTTCTTCATCTATGGCGGGTTGCAAAGAAGTGAAAACGCAGCTTTGTAAGCTTTTACAAAGCAGTTTTACCCAAATTAGGTAGGTAGTTAGCTGAAAGCCCAAGCTAACGCCCCGGATGGCTTAAATGTACCTATTTTGTAACATTTGGGTGCTTGCAGCCTACAAACATTGATATAAAAAGGCAAAAAATCAGTTTGTTGAAATGGCTCGTACTAACTTTTTTGGTTCTGTTTGAAAATCTCGCGGGCGTTTTTAATGATAAATTACTTTGAATAACATTTGAATTTGGCGGTTTAATCACCAGCCCGCATCGCTGGCGGCGCGACTGAATGCGGTTTGCAGAAATCGCGAGAATTGCCAATCTAAATAGTTTGATAATCTGTGGGTGAAGGTGAAGAGTGAAAGACACAGACCACAGAGGTTATCTGTGGTGAAAGAAGACTCTCTTGTCTTTAGCTTAATTCTTCACCAATGCAAACTTGAATGAAGAAAGTAAGTAATTAGCCTTTCACCTTTATTTATAGGCTGGTTTATCAGGTATTTCTAATTAAAGATATTTTTATATAAAGTTACATGTCCCATATATTTTGCATTATAAATTTGCTGATTGATTGCTAATTAAGCTGTCGTGATATGAAGTCAAGTCAGTCAAGAAAGAAACGTTGCTCTTAGATGACGTCATGCAGAATCAAGACAAAAGTTAATTGTTTATTTATTGTCTGATTTATTAACAATGAATTATTAATTTGCTAAAAATATATTATTTGATCACACTAAAATATGTTTGTATTTATAGCAACAAATAAGTGATTTTTGTATTTTTAATTATTCGTGTAATGATATTTTAATAATACAGCCAATTCTATATGTTAATAATATATTATTTATAGTGAGCTGTTAATTAAAAAAGCACTTATATTTGTAAAATAGGAAAGGAAAAAAAATTAAAGAAAATAAAATCACAGCTCATTTGACAACGTTGCCAAATATTTATGTAAAATGTACTAAAAAGCGCTGAAATTTGAATGTGTAGTTGCTTAATAGAAAGATTTTTGGAGGAATTTTAAAATTAACAATAAAGTGAATTAATTTCTGTTTAAATAGACTAATTAGAAACTATCGTAAGTATTTGAAAACATACATTTACCGTACTCGAAATATTAACTAATATTATTTAAAATAATGTGCAAATATTATATTTTTTCTTCGCTTAATAAATATGAAAATTGTGTAAAAAACTGAGAAAGTTGCGCATATTGAAAAATAAAAAAATTCACATTCCAATACCAATGTCGCGGGTCGTGGATTATTTTTAAACGAGAGTAAAGAAACATGGCGATTGTAGTACAGTCTACTGCGAGTTTCTACGCGAAAACTTCGGTTTTTCGTGTTTATCGCGAGTAATGTGAGGTGGAAACAACGGTAAAAAACAGTTTTAATCTCTGGAACAGTGTTGGATATAGTTTAGTTCGGCAATTCAATTTATTTGGTGTGTTTATAGCACAAAATTGTCCCTTTTGGGTGGATTCCACTGTCACCTACTTATTTATAGTTTTGGTAAGTTTCTCACTTAGGTATCGTTTGTTAATAAGTTTCTAAATGTTTATCGAATTTTTCTAATTCTGTCAACAAACCCGTCGACGTAGATCGTGAGGGAAATCTATATTTAAAAATTTTGATTTATATTTAGGTTAGGAGACATTTCCATTTCGACAGACTTTTCCTACACTGTACGATTCCAACTGGCACAATAGAGCATAATTTCTTGTAGTATTTTCATTACTGAATTGTTATCGATACAATAGTCTTCAAAAATTTTCATTCTATTTTCGAAGTCCAGAAAATAGGTCTCCGCCCACAGATCCCCAATCTCATGTGGGATTTATGATATTTAATTAGTTTGTGGGTATTGACTTCCAGCTAAGTAGAATTTAATTCGGTTGTGACGCGTATAAAAGTTACCATTTATAGAAACTAGCCAGGTGTATGTACAGAGAATGAAAGTTTTTACTTGAACGCAAATTGGTAAAGGTTGCCCTAAATGTAACTATTCTTAGCCTTCAAACTTCCATCTGTTCATTATGTTTCACTGATATGTGGGTTCCATTATCTACCTACAGTATCTGCTAAGCAAATGGTCCTACACTCTATACTGTTCAACGACAGGATGTTGTAGAATTTTTATCTATCATAGTAAATGGAAATCTGTGTTATGTTATGAATTTACCTTTCCGTGAAAATATGACTCATGAAATTCAACGAATTGTGATCTTGACATGGATTTTAACTTTGTAAGTATTTCAAGTTTGATAATTCACCCATTTGGTTAGTAGTTGAATGACTTTGGTGCTCTTATGTAGTAAACTGTATGAGTCAACCAACCAAGTATTGTGGTGTTTTCTTTTTATTTATAGAATATTCAAAACTCGAAATTTTAGATCTACAATTAACCATCTGCTAAGGGTCACTTTTCTGTTTGCCCTTTAATATCAAACCATATATTTACTTAATTGCTGTAAGTTATTAATGTTAATGTTTCCGAATAGTTTCTAAAACTCTTCCACACACACTACCTACTGATTGGAACGAACTGTCCACTAGGCTCTATTAAAAATTCCTGCGTAGATCGAAGGCCAACAAGCAACTCAATAAACTAATATTAAGTGTGTAATTAAATTTAAAAAATTCATTCAACCAATAATTTTTATAGCTATTGAAGTATTACTATAACTTTTAATATACACGATTATCTAGTTCTTTCACTGGCACGAGTAACATACTTATCTTCATAAAAACGCACTCACGGTCGTGCAGCAGCAAATTTATACACTACTAGTTACTTTATATTTGTTTCACGAGAGTGTTCCATTAAGTAATGTACTGATAGTTTTCTCTTAATTTGTGCAGAAAAAATAAGTAAGAATATGTTAATCTCTAACTAACTAAAAACTCGCATTACAAAAATCGCAATATATTCATTTGTTGAGCTTAAGATCAGGACGTGAAAGAGAGATGCTTCTTAGGTTGAAAGCTTCATGAAGCTCAAAATACACACACGCAAAAAACTGGATTTTTCACCGGAATGTTAGATGGTTGCAAAACACAAATTGCTCGAAATGCCTCAAGTGTGGTTAAAAAATGTTTGCCCATTTTGAGTGGTGTTGATCTTTGATCGACGATATCAACGACGAAAATCGAACGTTTTCCACTTCTTTACGAATCTCACTCAAAATGACTCAAACTGTATACCATTGTGATCGTTAAGAAGTGAGAAAGCGAAATAGCTGAGACACAAAACACTCTCGACCCTTTTGATCCGAAATAACCGAAAATTGTCGCTTATTCTGGATTGTTTTCTCGGGATTTTGAACGCTAACTTACGTTATTTCCGCTATTATAAACACAATGGCTTGATTCTTCAATATAGGCATTGAAAAACTTACATTTGTGCAATACCAGAAAACACTCAAAATGCCTCAAGCCACGCCACTTTCATGGCAAGGAAGCGAGGAATACTTCAAGTCGATAGAAAAAATCGTTGACCCTTTTTTGTTGGTTGGTTTCTACCAAGCCAGGTTCAGTTTTCAAGCTATGTTCAGATGCAGGAAACAATGAATTGTAATATTGTATGGCAATATAATAATATATTATATTATCTATTGTGCATGAGAGAATGGAAGTCAGTAGAGCAGCCGTTATTCAATATGGTTCGATTTTCATCTGCAAGCATGCACCAACTGACTAATTTATTTTCTTAATTGTTCATTTCTGAATGGATCTACTAAATTGATTATATGTGCTCTTCATTGTTGTAATTAGGTAATGGAATATGAATTAACATGAAGTCATTCGATTTGATGATTTATTAATCAGCAATTTTATATTCTTTTCATATCAATTTTATATTATCAGGCATAGTTTTTAAGCATTGAAAGGCATCATTGAATACAATTATCTTTCACTTTAAAATAATGACTGTTTCTTCCGTGTAATTAACCAGGAGTCGGGCATTTGAGAAAGATTCCATAGGTAGTAAATACTTCTTACACATGAGATACATTCGATTTAAACGTGTTTATTGTTATAAGTGTGGAGGTCTGCAACTTCGGAACGAATAAAAGTCGACTTAGACCTAGTAATAGCCCAATGGTGATAAATTGAATGATAATACTTACTAAGCAGCAGAAGAATACGTTTCTAATATAAGCAAATATTAATCCTGTATATTGGCTGATGTTTACGCAAACTGGCCCTAGGTTGCACAAGGAGTGTCGTTTCAATCCTGTTTAATCAATTAACGCCTAGCTGATATATTTTTGGGCAACCGCTAACATCGAGATTAATATTTACTTTATGTTCATCTACATCTATTTGGATCAGATTTAGAACCAACTTTTTAAGTTAAACCGGTAATATTTGTTATGTGTTATCCGTTGAGCATGGAATATTTGTAATTAAATTAACTTCACTGGGTCGATTTACTGAAGCGCTCTAATTCCAACCTCGGTTAATCGCTTGTCCATAATTGTTTGTTTTAATTAAAATTAATCGCAATTTTCTTTATAAATTCCCATTGATTAGAAACGCCATTGTAATTTTCAAATTGTTATATAATCAAGTTTCACCGAAGGAAACTTGCTGCTTTTAGGATGTGATGGTGATTATTTTAGAAGACAGTAAATGGGACCTTCATGTTTCATTGCACTATCGACAACCAGACGAATACATTCAGTAATCTTTAATTTTAATCTAGCGTCAAATAAAAATAACGAAAAGTATTCTCAAGTACGAACGAACGGCCGCTATAAATAGCCGCCCGATAGTTTAAGTCTGACATTAGCCTTTGAAATGTTTTTTTTTTCAATGGCACACAGGTATGATGACACTTTCGAAAAGATTATTCGCCCTGAATATTTAATGTTTGCGTTTTTCAGTTGAGTAACGGGAAATTAGAGGCAACAGCAAGAACCAGAAAGTTACTATAAAACACTCGAAAAGACAAAATCATCTTAGTAATTTTTGGCGATCTGATATGCTTAAATTGTGTAAACTATAAAGCTTTTAGGCTTGCAAAATCTTATGCAATTTTCTGTTTAAAAATCATAACTCAAGTTATTACTTCCCAGTACTTTTTCAGTTATAAAGGGGATCTCAATCGAGTGTTTCTTCCATTATAAATAGGGATTCATGCAAGTTAAAATACATCCATGCTGTATATACCTATTTGTAAACGACGCATTTGGCGAAATGTGTCGCACTTTAAGAACAAAGAATAAGCATTTTTATACAGATTGCTTACCTGTTCTTGCCCAAGGCGCTTTGTTATTCAATTCGATTGAACCAAATGTAGGTCGATGCTCAAAAACATGTTTGATATTCTATTTTTCATTTTCAAAAGTTCTTAGAGATCTACTCATATTTTTCAGATAATTCGAAATGGGGGTGGAAGAGGCTGCCGTGAACAGCATCATGAGTGGTATTGAAAACACTGGAGGAGTAAAACAACACAATCACAAGAAGAAGTTAAGGCAACGGTAAGTGGGTTTAAAAAAGTCAAAATATTTTATTTAATCCCAATTAATAGTGCTCCAAGTTTCTATGGCTGCTCCTTACGTACTTGTTTACAGGAATGTTTTAACTCAAAAAGTTTAATTTAAAATTTTATTTAGTTTCCGACAATTTAAACTACTAAGCAAATTGATTACTGCCAACGAATAGTTTAAAATGTTTCCATTTATCTTGTTTTTAAATCAGAATAACTATGTGCAATGCTTACGAATTGAATGACTTCATTCTGAAAATTTAACTAGATTTTTGCCAAACAATAGTGCAGAGAGTCATAAGTGGATAATGAGATAACATTTACACAATATTTCAATGCTTCATGTCTGAATTGTCTCCAACATCATAAATCAACTATTTTCTACGTTTTCTAAATTAGAAGTTTTTTTTGGGTCAGAACCTTTCAAATATCTCACCTACTTTGTGGTACCAATTTATTTTCGGACATTTCGCTAATTTTAGTTTTTGGGATCACACGATGACGCATTTGATGTATTTATTGTTTATGAAATAGTCGCCAAATTAAATAATACTTCTCGTTTTCTAGTACATGAAGAGCTTGTAATTATGATGTTTGTTATTCATGACCTTACTAGAGTTCCCTAGAAAATTACTTTCAATCTGGAGACTACTGCAAAAATTTGTTTTCTTTTCACTAAAAATTCTAGATGAAATTTTAGATTTTTTTACATTTAAAAATGAACGTATTCACCCAATCTAAACAGATGTATTTTGGAAACTGGAAAGTAATTTTTACTAAAGGATCAATTTTGGTCTGATGTATATCAAAGAAAAGGGATGTTGCATGTTAATTGCAGAAAAGAAACGTTTGCAGATTTTGTGAGTTGATTTGAAACTGTATTTAAGACTGATTGTGAAACGTAAAACGACTGACGGCAACAAAAATGCGTAAATATAAAAGTTGTATATAAGTGCCTTACAAATGTGACAAAACTTAAGACAAAAGAGAGAGCGAGAAGAGATCTTAAAAAATGCCAATATTATTACTCACCTAAAAAGATAAATTAAAAAATTAAATTGACAAAAAAACTATCACTTCGAAATCTGCGTAAAAATTAAAAACCTTTTCAATATTTCCTGATATAACCGACCCAATCTGATTTAGTTTAGAACATTCCTTCACTACACATAAACTGTATTAAAAAGGCCGAAATTCTTGCGATAAACCATTGTTTTTTGTTAGGTTTGATATTATCAAAAAACTCGGTCAGGGAACATTTGGAAAAGTGCAGCTAGGTATCAACAAAGAGACTGGACAAGAGGTACAAATGACGCTAACATTACAAAGTAATTTGTTACTAATTATATTTTCTGTGACCACTACAGGTAGCTATTAAGACAATAAAAAAATCAAAAATCGAATCAGATGCAGATCTAATTAGGATTAGGCGAGAAATTCAAATAATGTCTTCAGTACAGCACCCAAACATTATACATATTTACGAAGGTACGCATTCAGTTCCATTCACTCCTAGCAATGAGCTTTCATTGGAAATTTTTGTAGTTTTTGAAAATAGAGAAAAAATGGTGCTAGTTATGGAGTACGCAGCTGGCGGTGAACTCTACGATTACCTTTCCGAAAGAAAGGTACTACAGGAGGACGAAGCTCGTAGGATATTCCGGCAAATAGCTACGGCCTGTTACTATTGTCATAAACACAAAATATGTCATAGAGATTTAAAGTTGGAAAACATCCTGCTGGATGAAAATAATAACGCAAAGGTACAATCACCAGAATTTGCCCTCAGACCAGAGTTTTGAATTAGCGATTTTCTAGATTGCTGATTTCGGCCTTTCCAACGTTTTTGACGATCAAAGATTGCTCCATACTTTCTGTGGATCACCGCTATATGCGTCACCCGAAATAGTTAAAGGTCTGATCAATACATCCTCCATTAAAACAAAATATCATTATTCTTTTCAATGATTTTTAGGTACTCCATATCATGGACCAGAAGTGGATTGTTGGTCCTTAGGAGTTCTACTGTACACTTTAGTTTATGGTGCTATGCCCTTTGATGGCAGTAATTTCAAAAGACTGGTAAAACAAATTTCTCAAGGCGATTATTATGAACCTTCCAAACCTAGTCGTAAGTACAGGGCCCTTTCTAAACATTTAAATACCCAACTTTCTTCACTTGCAGCTGCTTCTCCGTTAGTTCGTGACATGTTAACAGTGAACCCAAAAAAGAGGGCAGATATAGAAAAAATTTGTTCTCATTGGTGGGTGAACGAAACATACGATGTCAATTGTCTAGATATTAGTGAAGAATTAGCCAACCAAACTCCCGTGAGTGAAACGTTGAAATAAAAGTGCACAGAAAAACTGAAAATGTTCCTTTGTAGGTGCGATTGGATGTATTGTTATCTTTGGCGCCTCCGGCTCCTCAATTGGAGAGTGAAAAACTGGTTGTCACTGGTGATGTAACGGAAGAAATTAAGTCAGAATCTGTAGCGCCCACCCGATCGCAAAGTGTGGGCAGTTTAATGGAGCTCACCAACCCTGAACGGCGAATAATAGATTTGATCAACGAGGAGAAGTTCACTCCAAAGAGAAAGCTGGAAAGCACTGTCAGCACTGATAGAATCAATTTAGATAGGCGTCGAGACAAGATAATCAAAGAGAATACTGTTGCAGATATAACGGTAAATACAGTTCGTTTTCACAAAGTTACCAGTACCCGAGCAATAAGAGTTGAAAATAACCGTAATTAAAATTTAAGTTACATGGAGCTATTCAAGAAGACGTTTCCCAGGAAGACGCGAGCATGGCTGAATTACCGCCGCTCAATAAATCCTTAACACAGACCATAACAAAGGATAGAGAAATGGATGTAGATCCATATATAGAGGGTCAGTTTAATGGAAGATTCATGAAATCCAATGATCTTGAATTGGTTTTTCAGGTGCTGCTTGCCAAGAAATTATGGAGGAAGTTGAAGGAAAGCAAAATACTACTCCAAAGAAATCGCCTACGGTTTCCAAAGTAAAAAGAACACCATCTATTATTCCAACGAAAACCTTAGAAGGCAAGCTTAATTCGCAAGGTTAATTGACTGTTTAATAATCCATATATTACTAATTTGATTAGGTATAAACGAAATACCAAGCCAAGAAAATATAGTAGACAAAGAAAATAAGGCAGAAGTACCCAGCAAAGGTGTAAAATCAACTAAAACCGACGAAAAACCGGTCAAGAAAACTGTATTGAAAAATAATGTTTTGACAGATAAAATTGAAAACGAAAAACGGACAGCGACGGAGGAGAGTGCTAAACAGCAACCTATTAAAGAAAAGGAAACTGAGAAACCCCAAGTAAAAACTACAACAATGTTGTGGTCCTAGTTTTAACACTCGTGTTGGTGCCTATTTTTCAGATTAAAGAAAATGGCACTTCAGTATCGAATCAAGCAAAGAAAACGACTGCCAGCAAGCAAGATAAGCCTGAAGTGCCGGCTAAACCAACAGAACGACGGAAGTCACGGATATTTGAGGCTGCAGAAAAGTTTCAGAGTCTGATAAGTCCTACAGAGGCCAAACCTTCTCCCATTGAAAAACCAAAAAAAATTTTAATACCAGGTAGGACATTACGAGAGCTATATGTAGACAGGCGCAAAATATGTTTATTTTATAGATAAACTATTTTTTAAAAACAATTTATTTAAAATAACTTTACAGACGTTCTATCATCGACAGAGTTTTGTGGAAAAAAGCGTTAACATAGTGAATTGTCTCAGTTTTATAGTTAATCAGGAATTTATGTACGGCGGAACCTAGTCAGCGGTTTCTGTGGGAACTGCTGCTTACTAGGCAGGTTCTGTGTGAACTTGATGGTGTAACTCGCACTAGAAGTAATAAATTAGTTCTTTGAAACCGGTTACCAACGTTTTCAAAGCAGTATTTATATATGCCTATTTTAGGTAGCTCAAAATACATTTTACAATTTAAAATTATTTAGATATTCATACCACAAATAGACTACTATGCTAGTATATCCAGTGTAGCTAACCTTCTCCTATTATCGTTCAGTTTAACATTAACGGCCTACTTTATTTTATTTTTTTGATCTATTATTTTCTGTTTCATAGACAGCATGGTTTCACAACAAGGTACGTGGCAAATGTGGTTTTCTGCTTCACGCATCATGTTCGCATTTTATTGTGTAATTTAGCTTTTAACACTATCCATCAGCCAAATTAAAAAAGCAAAATATTTTCATTAGATTTGAAGTTGTATATTTGAACTAATATTTGTAATAATATGAAAAGGCAAATCTGCACCATCGAAAAAATTGCGTAATCTGAAGTGTGAACAGCTAATATGAAAATCTACACTGATTTTTTAAAGTACGTTGCTTTTTATAAATACCTAATGCACAGAAATAGATAATTCTAGTGTTGATTAGCATTGTGGCTCAAATCTAGGTCTACGAAACATGTAGTTAGTGGCGTTGATCAGTATATTAACATTTCACATTTTGCATTATCCCGTATGTGATTACCTTTTTTTAGGGGTTTCCGTTGATGGGTTTAAAAAAGAATTTGAAAGAAAATCCAGTCTAACATCTGCAACTCCGGTGAAACTCAAATCCACAGTGGTGCCAAAAAGAACCCTAATCGACAAGCAGAAATCTGAAGATGAAAAAGTTGAATCTCCGGCGGACAAAACTGCTAACAAGGTTGTGACTAGTGCTCAAGAATCTAAGAAGAACGATGCTAAAAGCCAAAAAGGTGCTAAACCAAAATAAAGATTCGTTTAAATATCCATAACAATGCCATTTTTTAGTTGCAGAACCCATTGCAATTGAGCAAGAAGTGCCTAAGCAGGAAACTCCAAAGACTGAAGACGGTAGAAAGGATAAAGTTAAGAATGCGGTAAATATTATTTCGAATGCATTAGATCAAGAAGGGACTCGAAAGTCTAAATCACGACCATCCATGATGAGAAAACCTCCAGTGCCATTTGGTGTAAGCTGCTAATTATAAGTTTCCTTTACATCACAATGTGACTGAAAAATTAAAAATTTTATAGGTTGGCGGTCGCTCAGCTTCTGGTAACATTGGAACAATCGCCCCGCTAAGTCCTCCCATTCAAACCATGGGACCTAAGCCATTTATAAGACCGTGTTATGAAAAGAAATTGCCTACCAACGAAGCAAAACAAGTATGATTAATTACAAATCTGGTAAAAGCGGGAAAAAATGTTTTGTCTACTTTAGGTAAAAGAAGAACCGATCCAGCCCTGTGCAGATGAGCCTCAAACAAGTAATGCAGAAATAACTCTGAAAAGCGCTACCTTGCCAAGAAGAAAAACCACTAAAGCTCAAATTCAAATTAATTATCCAGCACCAAAACCAGCTCAAATGGAATTCAGGACTGAAGTTGCTCACAACGTGGAAAGTCCAACGCAGATTAGAAGTGAGGTTGTAGTTCCTGTTAGTGGGCCTGTATCTCCTGTAGATTTGAGGTACGTTTCGAATGCTAACGTTCAATATTTTTGAAAACGAGGGACTTTCAAAAACAATGTTCATTATATTTTGGCGTCATCATTTCAGGGGTGTGGATGATCGATCATCCAAAGAAAGAATTATACCTATAGCATTCGAAAAAATCGAAAATGGAAGAGAATCAGTTCAGTCACCACCTGCTAAACCGCCAATGCCACGTCCCTTCCAAACGCAGAAATCAAACATTTCTCAAAGGCGAGTATTGGTTTGCTTTTGAAAAAAAAATATAAGAATAGTTCACTTGATTTAAAAAATGTTATTAAATGAAATTTAATATTCCTTCTAGATCAAATAGTCTCTCAAGGCAATCTACTCAGGACTCCGATTCTGAAACAACTTCAACAGGAGAACCGATTAAAAAGTCGGCAAGAGAATACATTATTCCGATTGCTGTTGAGGGTGGAGGTGAATAAAACGTGAATATTCCTTGGGGTCGTGATTTTAAAACTTATTTTATAAGGATATGTAACGCCTCGAGCTGGAAGTGTGGAACCCAGCGACACTGCAAGCACTACTAGTACGATGACGAATAGAAGCAAGTCTAAATTTGGAAGAGGAGCCAGAAGGTTGAAGTAAGTCATCGCATTTTTTATAACTATATTTCTAATTGAATTTATTTTTTATAGCTCACTTCTTAGCGATAGAGATTCGGAGGATGAATCTCCATTTGCGAGCTTGCACAGGCACACCTCTTTCGGTAAAGACAGCGACAATGAAGACTCGAAGAAAGATAATTTCCATCACATGCATCGACTTAGGTGAGACCAATAATCCGAGGTCGAAGGTTTTGGTATTGACCAGCAATTTTTTTTCTGTTTAGGAGAATAAGACCGAAAAAGGCAGCACTCGAACATAACGACTCTGTTAGCTCAGGAGAAGAAGACGACGACGACGGATTCGAAATTTTAACAGCCGAAAACTTGTTCTCTACTTTGCTCTC